CTACAAATATGTCATCTGTATAAACAGTGTTAACTTAGCAACCATTCTAACTAGCTTGCTAACTGAGTTTGCAAGCTAGTTTGCGTGGAGAGCTTTCATTCTCCTTCAAATACTCTTTATTGCATAAAATTACGTAATGCCAAGAACACAATGTGAAAAATGCTAGCCCAGCTGGCGAATGCGTGTGAAGTTTATCAGCTAGGTTAGCCCTGCGAGTACTTTCTACGTTACCCTAACTTCTACAGCCAAATGTTATGCAGAGACAACTTCTAGTGTGAACAGGCCTTTAGTGCGGGAAATATTTAAGACTAAGTATTAATTATGTATTTGAGTGTGCATTCAATGCAGACATTCAATACTTTAAATGTTTTAATATTGAATTCTACAGTGACATTGAGATTCATACTCAACCTGTATTAGGTTGAATATATTGCTAGTGTGGTTTCAGATTGATCTGCTATAATGTGAACATAGCCTGAAGAAAAATGTTTCACTCAGCTGCATCTTTAAATTTGACACAGTATTCAAAATATTTTACCATTATCCAGACTATCCAACAAGGGAATGAGTGGGAACATAATTGTTAACAGTATATAATGTGAGGAGCAAGAGCAATGGTCTAACTCATGTTGAATGAAATAACTGAGATACTATTTGATATGCCTGGTTTAAAAGGCTCAATTTCTCACTAATTTTAACAGCATGTTGAGCTATTTAAAAGAAATGTAGCCCTCATTCTGCTTTATGTTTCACTGGTCACTTGTTCTCCTCCCTGTTCACTCCCTTTTCTTTGGCTCTGGTTACCACGCTATCTTTTCCAGGTTAAGAGAAGGCACAGCCGCATGTTTTTGTATGTGAAAGTGTCGAAAACAAAGACCCAGATATTTTCCAGCCCTTCTGAACAATATCCCACTGCTGACTCACTGGTCAACTATTCCAAAAAAAGAGATGTACCTCAGCGTGAAGCTGAAAAAAAATTAAAGTCTTACCCAGGTTCAAAGCTTGCGACGTGCCAATGTTCACATGCATTTCTGCAGACATACAATACACACAGTCAACTACAGTAGGAAGTAGAAGTAGACGTGCAACTCCTTCACTTCTGTCCTCTCCACATGTTGACTTTCTTTGTTTGGTTTTTACCCACCTCACTCCAGCTCTCTGTCTCTCCCTCTCTCTCAGCCTCATTCCTAATCTCGCACCAAAAAATGCAAGCTGTTTATTTGCGTAGGGCTGAAACCATTCCATTAAGTAGCCCCACCAGGTGCTTTATCCCTAAAAGGGATTTGTTTTCTAAAATAAACGGAGAAAGCAAAGGACTGCCAAAGTGATATTTACCATGACATGAAGTGATTGCAACAAAGTCAGAACTATCCAAATAAGAATCACTGTGCCTTGTAGGAACTTTTTTGAATTTCCTTACATAGTCAGAGACCTTCTCTAGTCATACTGGAAACCATAAACAAAAGTCCTTTTAATGCGTCATAATAAACACATTTATATTGATTTTGGGAGCAGGGACTGTATGTACATATACTAAGTTATATTTGATATTCCACCAGTTATAGTACAGTCTATTGTTTTGCAGTAAAGGCAGTCTGACAGATGCCGGCCTAGGTAACCACAAAAAACCCCGTCTGTATAGTCATTTTGCTCAGAGGACAACAAATCAATCCAAGTTATTAGTTCTATTTCATCTTTTCTGAAGCGGAGACACAAGGCCAAATCTAAAAAAGAGAGCCTTGACACTTTTTTCTCACTTTTGTGATTTTCTTTTCATCTTGAGGTAAGACAACTCATCTGCGGGTGGAATTTGCTTACTTCTGTCACCTCAGTCAATCTCACACAAAGACTGCGTCACGTTAGCCGTCTGCACCTGGTAGCAGGCTGACATTATCAAAGCTCCTCACTCTCCCAGCAAACCAGAGTTTATACATCCATCGATATGTTTCGGACCAAAAGAAGACATGTCTGTTTGATGCTGATAGAAAAAGAAATTGAAACTTGCCCAACGCGCCACCCCCCGCAGAAAAAAAAAAAAAAGATATTTTAAGTAGATTCAAGATAACACATCTGTGATAACATTATCAGGGCAATTCTTTCTACCTCACAGTCGAAGGAGATGCAAGAGAAAATATTGTGTGACATAATATATTCAGCGTAAGGCATGCATTTAACTGTGCAACCTGTTTAGCCAGACAATACAGAGGCGGGCGATCTGCCAGAGTGTGTTCTGATAGCAGCTGATGTGGCCATGGGAGCAGAGAATCAGATAGGGAAAGCAGACGGAGGCCAGGTGAGGGTGTTTAGAAGGCTTTGACACATCCTGTGATCTCAATCAACAGGAAAAGGCAGAAGCACGCCGTCGCTTTATGTCTCTGCTTTGGTCCCCATTGTGACGTCTTTGTAGGGACGATAATTTTTCATTTTCACGCTGCCTTGCGTCTATTCTGCCTGTCACTGTTTTTAACTACAGCAGCCAAGCTCGGAGAGTAGATTACGGTACTTACAGTGCATGAAAAACACAGCAACAAAACTGCCAGTGACAGAAGCGTTTAACTTTCTTGCTGGAAATCTCCCCCATGTGGCACTTTTGCTACAGCGAGTTGTTTATTATGTTCCAAGCTAGGCATAAGCGATTAAAGGAGCTCTTAAGAATCAAAGTGTTATAAATGCATGGAAACACAGCCGGCTGTAAATGCCACAGAATTAGAAGCTTACCAAGCCTAATACTAATACATGGCAATTTTCAGCTTGATGCTGATATAAAGAAATTACTTTTTTAAAGTAAGCAATAAATGCAGTCAAGGGAACTATTACAGAGGCCCTATTTTCATCCCAGCATAAATCTGCACACGACCTTTCTGCGGGTCCAACTCATGAATCCACTTGTTTATTCTTAACACTTCCATAAAAAGTGGATTAGACAAAGCAATCTCAACGGCTAAAACTAAGGCAATATAAACCAAAGCATTTACAGGAAAGGAAGAATTACAAGAAACTGGGTGTTTGCATGATGTGCTCTTCCCTCCCTTACATGGATTCATGAAATTCAAATGAAGTCCAGTATAAGGCGATAACATTTTGAAGCCCTCAAAACAGAGGAACATGTTTTGGGCATCTGAGGATTCTTCTAAGCAGAGGCACATTTCTGGAAAGCTGGATGTCATCAGGTCTGAATGCATTGGCCAAACAAACACAGCACACATCAGAGGAAGCCTTATCACACAGATATTGCCATACGATGATGAAGTATTCCAGATATCTAAACATTTGTCAGACTGCTTTAAGGCTTTCCCTACATTTCAAATTCCTATTTCCTAATTTGCAAATAATTAAAAAAAGAGTATGGTTGGTCTAAATGAGGACCACGCTTCCACACACACTGTATTAGAGTCTATTGCACTTTGAAAGAGCTTTAAACATCAAGTCATAGTAATCCCATAAGCTGCCACTGGGATTTGGCCTTAGTGATGCAATCAAAATCACATCAGAAAGTTGTGTCAATAATTAGGCTGATTTTGCCACATTAACATTAATTACACAACCGTTTGGAAGATTTCAGGGCTGATCTTACATCTGGAGTGGGCAGCTGAGGGGCCTGCTGGAGTGGACCTCACTATGCGGAGAATGCACTCCAGATAAACAGCAGCAACATGAATCCTCCACTTCAATTTTCTCCCAAGTCTCTGTTTTCCAAATGTGGGGGTGATTGTCTGAGTCAAATAAAAGAGGAGTACAGGCTGTTTAACAGATTGTGGTGATGAGAGCCTACTCTTACACTGAGGAGAAATATAACTAGACTGGCTGAGATCCATTGCTACCTGACGATGACAGTTACAACTGCTTTTGCTTTTTCCAAACTCTATGGAGAAGCTGTAGGAGTTAATATTTAAAGGTATTAATATTTAAGAAATATATTCTAGGTGCAACACTTTACCACTTTTACATTTTACATCAAGAAAATGTTTTCAGATTTTGTTTTAATTTAACATAAAAATAAAATTAACTAGTAGCACAAGTTTATAGTAATACAAATATTTGAATATGAAAATAGTCAGATATCCACAAGAAAAACAAAAATAAGCTGTATTATCCTTCCTATTTTACCAATGTGTATGTCAGGATATCAATCACTTGCTGCAATCCCCAAAAACAACAGGTCAAACCCAAGATACAGTTCGTGGTTTATTGCTTAAAACAGCCTTGTTGAAAAAAGCACTGTTTAAATGTAAAGTCATTATTTGGCACAGTATGTCCACATGTCCCACCTACATGTCTCAACATGTTGATGGAGGAAGCGAATGAGTGAGAGAGAGAAAGACGAAATGATAAAGACGGGGGAAAAAAGAGAATGAGAGAAAGAGATGACGGTGAGGTTGAAGCTGTATGAGACAGAAAACAGACACACTCCTCCTCTGAAGCCCTGAGTTCCTCAAGTGTTAATCCCCCCCCCCACCCCCACCCACATCAACACCACACCACACACACACACACCACCTCAAAAGTTCACATCCTGGGGGCCCCCAGAGATAGGGAGAGGACTGTGAGGAGCAAACACGAGATACGCACCAGAATGGCTGAGATGCCAACGATAGCAAGATTGAGTGCAGTAAACCTCGCCCCTCTTGTTTGGTAAACATGGCATTACCATATTTTTAGCTTTTCCCGACAAATGTCAACATGTACACAGACAGATATCGCTGTATTGAGCGGCAAGTTCTTCAATAGTGCAGCATAAAGCTAATTCACAACCAACTTACTAACTCGGCTTTGACCTTCAGGGGAACTGTCCCTTTATTACTCACCATGCTAGTTTCAGAGTGCACCTGTCATCGCCCCACCACAAACCCTCCCACTCTCTTTCCCCATACATACACACTCAAAATACAGTACACAAACAAGACAGCCTCACTGCATTCAGTTAATTATTAAGCCAATTCAATACAGCATTCACACACATGCACAGGCTGCTAGAGTCTGGTGAATGATTGTGTGTTTACCTTCTACAATGACTTGCTTATTTAAAGCAATCCACAGTTCCAGCGGTGGTAAAACAGCCTCCTTGCCCTGCGGACAAAAGATGGAGAATTATTCAGTTATGAAATAATTACCACTGCTGACCATGATGCATATCATCAGCAACCACAAGCCAATTTACAGGAAGAAACACAGAGCGCATGGGTGTAAACCGATGCTACCAACAACAAGTTGCGCACCTGTTGCTATTGATTTCATCTGATAATGTGTACAAACAGTCTTATACTTGTTCTGAGAATTATCAGATAGATCAATTCACGGCATTCCTGTGCTGTTTGCTTTCCTTTGTTTGTGTGAAGCCGTACCAGTCAGCGTACCTTCCTTTGCTGCTACGGATGCACAGCCTCCATGTCAGCTCAGAGCAGGGCAGAAGGCACCTGTCGTTTATCATCCTGCAGCCTACTACTGTCCACGTCAGACACATCCATGCATTTCCATTTGTCTGTTAACTACAACTACACCCACTCGTGATAACAGATGAACAATGGGGCTGTCTGATGTGAGTCAATGAGTGAGTGTTATTTGCAAGACAAAAACTTTTCATATTGCCAACAGTAGAGGCCCTCCTTGCTGCCTCCTCCCCCTGGTGGTGAACAGTTTACCTGTACCTGTTCTGCCCTGACTCAACTCCCCCTGGGCGGGCCTGATCTGCATGCGCACAGCTTTCCTAACTGAGCACTCAACCCAAGCAAGGAAAGCTGGAAAAAAAAAGAGAGAGAAGGAAACAAAATCTTATTTTTATGGTAAACTGAGAAGTGACTGTGGGGCAATATCTCAGGTGCATTTGAATAAAAGCATTAAAGCATATCCAAATACGAAAGGGGGAAAAAAAGCTCCAACTCCCTCTCCCACCGTTTTCTTTTTTGCCGTTTACATTTGGCAGTCAAAACTGCGGCCAGGCGTTTGTGCAAGTGTTTATCTAAAGCAGCACAGATAAAAACACACTGGTCCAACATGCCCAGTTTCTGCATTAATTATGTGTTAAATGCCCTTGTTGAAAACGCGAGTCAACATGCAGCTCACTCTGAACTCTACTGAGGGTTGAACAATCATCCAAAATGGACCATTCCCACACAACTACCCCTATTATTGTGATTCATTACACTTCAATTAACATATCATCAATGGAATCGTAAATCAATGGCGAGTGGTGACAAATGACAGATATTTTCAGTTTCAAACTACTAAACATCATTAATTCCCATCACCTGAAAGAGCCCCGGGAGCTAAATGAGTTTACCCAACGCATAACATCCATTTAGATAAATGTTCCATCATTTTAATGACGGAAAATTTGTATCGGAGAGAAAAGGCAACAACGGGATCCTGATAGCAGCTGTACGCCTTTTCTCCTTGTAATATAATGCCCATCTTGTAATGCCTAAACAGATAATTGTCTCCATTTCAAACAGCACAAGGCTGTAATATTGCCATTTAGAACAGTGGGGGTGCGGAGAACGTAGGGTGAGGATAAACAAGCACACGCTGCTTCGCCCGGTTGGGAAAACCGAGCCCATCACACACTCCCACATTGAGATTTTAGGGAATAGAACAACTCCTGGTTGAGATAATTACCCACCTAGGTGGGTTATGTGCATGCTCAGTAAGAGGCTTAAGCTAAGAATATGAATCAAAATGCAACAATTTCAAAAGACAAAGGAAACTGAGGAGCATTTTGCAAGGTTCTCTTGTAAAGTCTTGGGAGGATGCTGTAGGTGCACTGTGTTAAACAAAGGGGAAAATAGGACAACAAAGACTTTTGACAAAGAAATATCTCATAGTAGTTACAAGACTCTTGTGTGCAATAGATAGCATGACCGTTAGCCTGATGCCTTTAGAGGATCAGATGATCCAAATAAATGTTTCCGTTCTCTATGCAAATAGCACAGGCTTCATTGTAATTGTGGGAGGAAAAAAACACGCAAACACCCTATTTTCAGAGAAAATGGACAACCAGAAGGGTTTTTTGCTATGGTAATGAACTGCTGTGGTTACATCTGAGCACGGACAAAGACTCATTTTATTCTGTCCACAAACCTGTGAAGTGGACTTCCCTATTTGTGAGGGGGTCACGGCTTCACAATATGCTCTCTAGTCCCAGGTATGTTATCGCTGCCTTTGGCTTTGTTGTAAGATTGCATGTTCAAAATATGAATTAATACCCCTCCACTGAAACGCACCCAATCCCAACAAAAGGCCCGCATTCACCGTGGACAGCTCTTCAGCTCCTCTAATGGACAGGCTCTCTTCACACTGTGCAGACAAAAAGATGAGGGCCCATGAATATTTACCACTAAGTAAAGTTATTCCATTAATTACTCCGAGCACGCTTAATACTGTATCTGTGGCTACTTCTGTAGCGGCTCGTTAATGAACCTTCACACATCATTACCATATTAATTAATGCTCAACTCAATGGTTGTCAATAGGAGACTGCCAGAGTTGTCTCTCGGTTCTTTACAGCCCATGCGGGATGTTTCGATCACTTAGTATCAGCATCTGAATAGATCTGCTGTTTATCATGCCAGGGCATACATGTGCTTGAATAAAACAAAAAAAGAAGTAATGGCCCTGGTTAACAATCCTCAGGCTGGTGGATCCGTATTAAGAGCATTGTGTAAATAAGAAGAGGGCGTAGGAGAGTTTTAGTTGTGTAGAGTCAGTGATAGCTATATACGGGGTCACTGGTGTTTGTTTTTAGGGTGTGTGCCGGAGATTTTCCAAGTCACTGTCTGTGCTCTGAAACACAGGAAAATCTAAAGCATGACTCACTTCTCAACAAACGCAGCTGCTTACTGTATGATCTGATCTGCTAAAAGGGCTGACTGCACACTATTTTCTCCCTCTTTTCTTCTGGGCTTTTATTAAGAAGGACTGATTAAATGAAAAACATAGCTACGTCTTGTAAAGACTTAAAAAAAAAGGGGAAAAAAGTCAGCATTTGAAAAAGTGAAAAAACAAGCATTGTTTTGATGTGATTGGCAGGATCCTGGCATTATATTGTAACACCCACACAGACTGTAAACAACAGCACTTTCTGACACGCAAACAGACCACCAATTAAACCCAACTTCAATCCAGACAGCCCTTATTCTGGGTGCTTTTTTCTGATTCTTTTTTTTTTCTAAGCTTAAAAGGCAACAGTGCAGTCTGGTGAATGTCAGGCCTGTCTGATCCCCCAGATTCTTTGGACCTGCCCTCACATTTTGCTGAGCTAAGAACAAAGTACACAGAGTGCACACAGAGAGCTTTGCTGCCTTAATACCAAGGAAGTGGAATTTCACTCCTAACCCAAAACAAAACAAGGCCACACATTTCTTTACACTATTTAAATGAGCTCACTGAATACAAAAAATCCTATCAAGTTGATATCCAGTGCACACTGCTCTGTGTCTTTGGGAATTCTAATCTATTGATCCATGAGGGAAAAAAACACCAGAAAACAGCACTTTGTGAACTATTTTGTCTGCTGAGAAGTCACATCTGGGGCGGCTCAGGATCCCTACAGTTGAAAAAAGTCTCACATTTGCACGTGAAATTAGATCAGCGCAGGCAAAAAAGTTCAACCCTGATCACGCACGTACAGCATAGCACACACAGTGAACATTATGCAATCCTATTTTTATGACCAACTCCTTTTCCACCTTGTCAAGTAGGAGCACTGTCAATTCTACCCGGCCATATCAAGTTACCACTCTCGCCCAGGTCCCAGCTCCTCTCCGACCACAGATCCTGTGCGCTATTAATATCAATAAGCTGTAGATTCCATTTCCCCAGACAAAGACAGAGGGAGATCAAGAGGCGATGAGTGAGGGGAGGAACTAATACCCTCACGCATCACCGTGGGCTTACCACTTACTATCACCTCCAACCCTGCTGCGCTGAAAAAAGGGAAGGCACATGGACTCTCATACACTTACACATCTGCTGGCAACCATACACATACACACATCTACAGCACTGCATGCACACGCACATCAGGCCAACGCAAATATAGGCTAACTAACTGCTGGATTATTTGTGAGTTTAAGTCCTCCTGACTGATTGTTCTTCATTCTGAGCACAGCTCAAATGTAATAAACAGATACTGGTAACGGGGTTTTTATTGACAATGTTGCAGTTCATATAGAAGTTTATCAATCAGTTGCTTTGAATAAACAAGCTTTACCTATCATTTCTGTGCTGAATGCATTTTGTTTTGAAATTACAACCCCGTGCACACAATTAAGGCTGCAACTAAAAATCATTTTTGCTGAATCTGTCACTTATTTTCTTGATTAATCAGTTAATATCTGAAAATGTCCATCGCAATTTCCCAAAGCCCAAGATGATATCTTAAAATTTCTTGTTTAGTGCAAAAACCTAAATATATTTAGTTTACTATCATATCAGATTAAAAAAAAGTAATTATCTGGTCTTAATGAGCTGGAAGAAGCAAATACTTGCCATTTATATTTAAAAAAAAAAAAATCACTCAAATGATTAATATGATAATGATTTCAGCTCTACACAAAACTTTGCAGCATGTAGTAGTAACTCCTACAATAAAAACACATTGCTTCATATCTACACCCTTATACACCAACTCTGTCAATCACTTAAAGAACACACCTACAAACACACCCGCATGGACATGCACACACACATACATCCACCGGCGTCCCATAAGTGTGGAAGGATAATGAAATCTTTACAGACTTACCCCTGAACAGTTAAACAGACTTTCATCATGTTCATGAGACTGTATATTGATGCAGATTCCCTCCGAGCACTGAGTGTTTTGAAATCCACTTCTGAAGAAGAGTAGAAAGCTGCCAGTGAAAGTAGCAGGTATGGAGTAGTTGAAGTAGTGTGTGGTAGTTGAGTGTGTTTGCACGCATGTGTGTGTGTGTGAGTGAGTGAGTGAGTGAGTGAGTGAGTGAGTGAGTGAGAGAGAGAGAGA